CAGCTTTGAGAAACGCTGTTGTGAAGGCGGCTGCTCCTGTGCTACTTACGGCGCTTCGTACCATCACCGTTCTTTGTGCCGTCGGAGACCTGTTGTTTCCGAATGCTGTCTTCGTCCGCTTTGCGATCCCGGCCTGGGCAGGCGCAGATCCGAGCCTCAAAGCATCGGCGGCCGAGGACTTGTCCGCTGCGGGGTGAAGTAAACAAAACCCATCAGCCCCTTGAGACCAAGTAGCCATCTCTATAGGAAACACAAATATGGGTCACCTGGCCAAGCCAGCTCCAAACCACGAATTAACCCTGATTGCTATTGACGGGCGTGGGAATTTTCAAGTTCGGGTGTTTTGCGAGAAAGCCAAGTTGTATGTTGCAGGAAGCCGGCCAGACTGAGATGAATTCACCCAGGAGAGGCCTTTATACCGTCGGTCCTCGGCTTACAACCACGACTTAAGTCGCGACGGTCGTTAAGCAGGTCGCCCACGTGACCGAGCCCATTTTACAATCTCTTCTTGCGGCAAACGCCAGGGTGGTTAAGCGACCGTCACGGCCATTCAGTGAGTGCCAGGGTCGTTAAGCGAACGTGGTGGTGGTTGTTAAGCGAATCCACTGTTTCCTACGGGGCACTTTGTCCCAAAAACTGGAAGTAAACAGTCCATTTTTTGGGGAAAAATATAGCAAATTGTGTGTGTCGCACAAACTGCGGGACGCTGCAGACAAGTGTAAATGCAGGAAAGGGAGGGGGGCAGCCAGTAACTTTTGAGGGGTGGGAAATTCGTCGTACGTTCGAACCCGTCGTAAGTCAAGGACCACCTGTACATTATAAACACCAGCATCTCCGCTCACTTAATCTGGGTTTACCTTGTTATGTGAATCCAGCCAGAGGGAAAGCATGGAGGGCGCGATGCTCAAATCGGGCTTTGACCGCTGGCTGCGAACTCAGCCCCCCCCGAGCAGCCGGGCGCTAATCCAGGGAGTCCTCGACTTACGACCACAACTGAGCCCAAAATTCCCATCGCTAACCGAGACGGTTGCTCAGTGAGTTTTGCCCCAGTTGTTAAGTGAATCGCTGCAAGTTGTTACATGAGCCTCCTGGTTGTTGAACGAATCTTTGGCTCGGCTTGCCAGGAGGTCGCAAAAAGGGGGGGGGAGGGTCACGTGACCCCGGGAGACACGGCAACCGTCGCGAGTACATGCCAGTTTCCCAGCGCCCCGAGTTTTTTTTGTTTTGTTTTTTTTCCAGATTTCCTGCTGTCGCGACGGACTTACTCTCTGGCTTCCAGCGTCACGATGATGAGGATGGGGCGTCTGTTCATGCCGCCGACGCAACTGCTGTTGCACATGAAATTGTAGAGGACGGTTGTGAATTCGGTGCCAACCTGGGTTTGCGGGAGAGAGAGAGAGAAGAGGAAGTGTTTGGGTTGAATACGAGTTACCTGAGAATCTCAGCTGTAGGTCCTGTCTAATTGCTGGGTGTTGTGACTGCTGATGCCACACAAAAGATAGTAGGGGGTTTATCTCTGCACACAGAGAGAGACACACAAACACACACACACACACACACAAAGAGACGCTATCCTGCTTTCCTGGATGTTTTATCCTCTTTCTCGTTGTCTTGCAGCTAACCAGGTCACACACACACACACACACAATCACAAAGAGACACTATCCTGCTTTCCTGGATGCTTTATCCTCTTTTGCTGTCTTGCAGCTAACCAAGTTGCACACACACACACACACACACAATCACAAAGAGACACTATCCTGCTTTCCTGGATGCTTTATCCTCTTTTGCTGTCTTGCAGCTAACCAGGTCCCACAGACACACACACACACAATCACAAAGAGACACTATCCTACTTTCCTGCTTTCTCCCTGTCTTGCAGCTAACCAGGTACCCCACACACACACGCACACACACAATCACAAAGAGACACTATCTGCTTTCCTGGATGCTTTATCCTCTCTTTCGCTGTCTTGCAGCTAACCAGGTCCCACACACACACACACACAATCACAAAGAGACACTATCCTGCTTTCCTGGATGCTTTATCCTCTCTTTCACTGTCTTGCAGCTAACCAAGTCCCACAGACACACGAAACACACACAATCACAATCACAAAGAGACACTATCCTGCTTTCCTGGATGTTTTTCCCTCTCTTTCGCTGTCTTGCACTTAACCAAGTTGCACACACACAAACACAATCACAAAGAGACACTATCCTGGATGCTTTTCTTCTCTTTCACTGTCTTGCAGCTAACCAGGTCCCCTGTTTTGGCTAGCACCATAAGGACTAGCAGCAAATTTGAAACTTTACAATACAGAGGCTTTTTCCCGATTTGTTAATTCGGCATTGGCCGAGATGAGGAAATTGGGAATTTCTGCAAAATCACGGCGACTGAAACAGAGAAGCGTCTTCTTTCCAAGTGGGAAACAGACCGTACGGCCACACGCAGGGGTAAAAATCTCTCTCTCTATTTTCCTGTTTTATCTCACGACTTTGAACTTATCTCTGGAGATTATTTAAAATCTTCTCAGCCGGACTTTTGGGGTTGCAAGCCTGCAGCGAGCCTAGCTCTTTGGCTCATTTAAGAATACGCTCTTCATGGAGTTGATCTTCTGGTACACAAAAAAAAAGAAAGAAAGAAATGTGTGTATAACTACACACGGATTTTAGTCTTCTGCCTTTACGGTTTATTTTTTTGAAGGAGGCCCTGCTTTGTGCCAAATGCTAAATTTTGTTTTCTCTGCTCAGATGTGCTTCAGACACGTAAAAACAAGGCAAGGTACTTTAAAAATAATATATATATATTTTTTAAGCAACTATCACACAAGCTTGTCAAAGGACGGTTCTGTTTAATGTCGGTTTTTAACGGAGGACTCTTCAAGGCAGAGCCCGGAAAAAAACTATCCTGTATGGCTCCATTTTGTACCTCGCATTTAAGATGGCGTCTGTCATTTTTGGCACTGCAAGAAAGCTGCTTCATTGATGCACAGAGGGGGGGAGGTTGCTGGAGGGGGTGTAGAAGGAGTGGCGGAGTCAAAAGAGGGCTCAGCCTAGAATCCCTACGGAGCCACACGGGAACTGTCCAGCCCCCCCCCCTTGAGTGCCCCCCTTGATCCTTATCTGACTCTTAGCAGGTGCCCGCAGTTAGTGGACCAAGATCCCTGTGCAGGGGCTTTGAGCAATAAATCCGTTTAATTGGACCTTTGTTTGTGGACCTGGTCTTTTCCACCTGAGAAAAGGGGGAGGGAGGAAGGAAGGAAGGAAAGAGAGGGGAAAGAAGGAGGGAGGAAAGAGAGAGAGGGAAGGAGGGAGGGGAAGGAATGGAATGAGAAGGAAAGGAAGGAAGGGAGGGAGGAACGAAGGAAAGAGAGGGGAAGGAGGGAGGGAGGAAAGAGAGAGAGGGAGGGAGGGAGGGAAGGAAGAAACGAAATGAGGAGGAAGGAAGGAAGGAAGAGGAAGGAGGAGGGAGAAAGGAAGAAATGGAAAGGAGGAAGGAAGGAAAGAGGGGAAGGAGGGAGCAAAGGGAAGTAATGGAATGAGAAGGAAAGGAAGGGAGGGAGGGAAGGAAAGGAAGAAATGGAATGAGAAGGAAGGAAGGAAGGAAGGAAGGAAGGAAGGAAGGAAGGAAGGGGAAGGAGGAGGGAGGGAGAAAGGAAGAAATGGAACGAGGAGGAAGGACGGAAAGAGAGGGGAAGGAGGGAGGGAGGAAAGGGAAGTAATGGAATGAGAAGGAAAGGAAGGGAGGGAAGGAGGGAAAGGAAGAAATGGAATGAGGAGGAAGGAAGGAAGGAAGGAAGGAAGGAAAGAAGAAGGAGGAGGGAGGGAGAAAGGAAGGAAAGGGGAAGGAGGAGGAAGGGAAGGAGGAAGGGAGGGAGGAACAAGAGGAAGGAAGGAAGGAAGGAAAGAAAGTGGAAGGAGGAGGGAGGGTGGGAAAAAGGAAGGAAAGGGGAAGGAGGAGGAAGGGAAGGAGGAAGGGAGGGAGGAGGAAGAAGGAAGGAAGGAAGGAAGGAAGGAAGGAAGGAAGGAAGGAAGGAAGGAGAGAGATGGGGAATGAGATGTATAGGAGTAGTGGCAGAACCTGGGGATGGAGTCAAAAGAGGAATCAACGTAGAATCCCTACATAGCCACAAGCAAACAAAGTCCAAACTCCCTTGAATTCCACAGACTTTAACTCTCAGCAAGTGCTCAGTGGTGCTGGCTGAGGAGATGTCTGGGCGGAGGCTTTTAGCAATACATCAGCTTAATTGGACCTGGTGGACTTCATCTACCTGGCCTGAAAAGATCTGGAGGGACCCCTCGGAAGCCCCCCCCGCCTGCCCCCCCCAGCTCACCTGGGGTGGTTCGTAAGGGACCAGGACGCTCTGCCGCCCGGTGATGGGGTCTTCCACGTACTGCGCGTGGCTGTTGCCTTCCACTCGGATGAGATGGCTGGGAGGAGCAATTTGGCCTGGGAAAAAGCAGACGGAAACCATTCCAACATTCAATATTCTCATATTTATTTTATTTTTCTCATATTCGCATTTTAAACATAATTAGAGACAATATTCTCATATTTATTTATTTATTTATTTTGCAAAGCTCTTTGAACTGGAAACAGGTGTCGGTTCACTTCGTGGAAGGCTCCACGTTTTTGGCAAACTTTGCTTGAAGACGCCCGGCCCATCTCCCAACTGAAATACAGGAAATACAGGGGGTCCTTGACTTACGACCGCAACTGAGACGACAACGTCCGTTGCTAAGTGAGTCACGCCTGATTGTGTGACCTTTTATTGCTGCGGTCATTAAGCGGACGGTGGGGTTGTCGACCGTGGGACACTGCAGCCTTCGCAAATAGACGTCGGTTGCCAAGCTTCCAATTTTATTTTATTTTTTTGTCATGCAGCGAGATGGGCAGCAAACAGATTTAAAAAATAAAATAAAATTTAATAAATAAGGAAAGAGAGAAAGGGAAAGGGAAAGAGAAAGAAAGAAAGAAAGAAAGAAAGAAAGAAAGAAAGAAAGAAAGAAAGAAAGAAAGAAAGAAAGAAAGAAAGAAAGAAAGAAAGAAGGAAGGAAGGAAGGTAGGTTATTTTTTTTCCAGTGACATTGTAATTTTGAATGGTCACTAAATGAACAGATATAGTGAAAGACCTCCTAGAATAGAATAGAATAGAATAGAATAGAATAGAATAGAATAGAATAGAATAGAATAGAATAGAATAGAATAGAATAGAATAAGGAATATAATGGATGGGATAGAATAGGATAGGATAGGATAGGATAGAAAGAATAGAGAAAATGATTAGAATAGAATAGAATAAGAAATAGGAATAGAATAGAATAGAATAGAATAGAAAATAAGAATAGAATAGAATAAGAAATAGGAATAGAATAGAATAGAATAGAATAGAATAGAATAGAATAAGGAATATAATGTATGGGATAGGATAGGATAGGATTGAGTAGAAAATATGGAATAGAATAGAATAGAATAGAATAAAAACTTTATTGTCACTTTAAACGTACTCTAATCAGCATACATTAAAATGGTATTTCATTGCCTACCGCTTCAGCACTGGAGCTGGACTAGAGGACCTCCAGGGCCCCTTCCATATTGCGGACCTTCCCGCCCCCAAACCCTCGCAGCCCCGTCTTCTGCGGACTCACCTTCGTTGAATTCCCGGCTGAGTTCGTGGTTCGGGCAGCGCTTGACCACCTCGGTGACGTGTTCGGCCTTCTTGTAGACGGGCATGGCTCGGATGACGGCCCCCTGGGGCGGGGGGGTCATGACCTTGATCTGGATGGGGCAGGTCTTGGCGATCTGGCAGTAGAGCTTCTTCAGTTCGGTCGAGTACTGTGCCCAGAGGGGGGGGAAACAAAAGTGGGGGGGGTTTTGAAATTTCAAGGCCGGCTGAGGAGCTGAGCCCCCCTCCCGACACACGCCTTGTTCGCACTGTGCAGAATTCGTATCCGCACCCCGGATGCCCAAATACAGGTAGTCCTGGGGCTATGACCACAATGTGAATGTTCCATCCCTGGAGGCTTTTAAGAAGAGACTGGACAGCCCTTTGTCTGAATTGGTATAGGGTTTCCTGCCTGAGCAGGGGGTTGGACTAGATGACCTCCAAGGTCCTTCCGAGTCTGTTATTCTTTTTTTCTCCTTCCTTCCTTCCTTCCTTTCCTTCCCTCCCTCCCTCCCTTCCCCAACACTGGAAGTCTTTAAGAAGAGGCTGGACAGCCACTTGTCTGAAATGGTATATAGGGTTTCCTGCCTGAGGAGGGGGTTGGACTGGATGACCTCCAAGGACCCTTCCAACTCTGTTGTTGTCATTATCGTTATCATCATCATTATTATTACCATCACTATCTTTATCATCATCATCATCATCATTATTATTATTGTTATCATTATCATCATTATAATTATTATTATCATTATTATTATTATCATCATCATCATCATCAAGGGGGCAAAAAAGGTGGGTGCTCAAAGAGTCCAGCGGAGCCAGCAGCCGCTGCCCCAACCCCTGTCAGAGGGCTGGAGGGCAGAAATGGTTCCCAATCCTGGTCTGGTTCCTTAGTTTAAACCAGGATTTGATTCCCCCCAGAGAAGCTGCCACTGTTGGCTAGACAATTGGAAATCAATTTGAGGGAGGGAGGGAGGGAGGGAGAGGGAAGAAAAGAGGAAAGAAGAAGAAAAGAAGGAATGAGGGAGGGAGGGAGAGGGAGGGAAAGAGGGAAGAAGAAAAGAAGGAATGAGGGAGGG